ACATGAAAAATGACACGATGAATAATGTTAGTTTGCTGTTAACAAGTAAACACATCTTAAAATATCTCAGTTTTGCATAAAACAGAAATAATATACTAACCTTTCGTCGAGTTAAGGTGCATTTCTCTTTTGTCCTTTTACAGCCACTTCCACCAAACAGTCAAAAAAGAACTCCCTTGCCATTGGTCAGTTTTTCGCGGGCAAGTTCACTACTGTAAATTGATTTACAGTAGTGAGGAAATACAGTAGTGACCGTATATTTTCCCATAATCCTTTGCGGTTTACAGTAAAATACTGTATACACATTTTACAGTATCTTACTGTACATATTACAGTATAATACTGTTCAAATTACAAAAATCAGTTACAGTGTATATAAGTGCTGTCAGAATGACATTGCCTCTGGTATCTCAGAGGACTGTTGCTCTGTCACATTCATTTGCATTTCAGCTCCCAGCGGCGTGCGCCCGAGCATCTGTGGGAACAATAAGACCAACTCAGTAAATTACACAAAAGGCAGGATGTTGTCACGGGTCGTTTGGTCCTCGCAGGCCTCCTTATCAGAGAAACCAGACACTTGCTGTGTTCAGAAAAGCTCATTACTGTACTACTCATACTATTAGTGCACTGTGTGAGAATTTTCCGTATGCACAGGTGACCTGCTACTGTCATGTGACTGTATGTGCCTCATGTACAGAGTATATAGTCCAAATCTGAAAGACATTTAAAGAGAATTATCATTTAGAAACAACTCAAAATGAGAGTGAAAATAAGCTTTTCACCCACATTAACTGACTGTTTAAAGCAAAATAGTATTGAGATGATCTGACAAACATGAAACTAATGTGAAACATCTTTATAGCAGAGAGTTACAGGACAGTATCACATCCCACCTGTGATAACTAATAAAACACACTGACAGACTCATTTAAATGTTATTATGTAATATAATTTTATTAATAATTTTATCATATTGTTAACTATTTCAACTTTGTTTTTTTTTTAAATAAGGTGATTTTTATATTATGTTTTTTTCTGGTCTCTTATTGTAGTATTTTGTGAACCATTTTTAAATCATAGAAAACAAAGAGCATGTTCATTTTTTACTTTTATTTAAAAAAAATAGGTGATTTTATGTTGTTCTACTCTATTATTTCAATTTATTTATAGGTATTTAGGTTTATTTAAGTATTTAACAAACCATGTTTAAATCATATAAAATATGAAAAACGTTTCCATGTTTTCATTATTTGTACATTTATTTATGAAATATAAATGTGAACATGAAATCCATGTTTTCGTGTTCATTATTTTTACATTTATTTTGACAAGGTGATGTTTATGTTGTTCTACTATTTTCTGTTATTTTAAAATAAGACAATGGGATGATTTTTATAGTATGTTGTTCTGGTCTCTTATTTGAGGTATTTAGCAAACCATTTTCAAATCATAGAATAAATGAGTTTATTGGAACTAAACTGCAAAAATGACTATGATTATGACATCACACCCATGTTTCATTAACATATTCATGGTGCGGTCTTAAAGGTATGGCTTGTGTATTTCTAAAAGGTCAGTGAGAGGGAAAAGGTGGCCATGAAAAACTAAACCTTGACTGACATTATAAATGGACTTCAGGGGGAAAATAAAATGCTAGAGGAGTTTCACTATGATTATGACATCACACCCATGTTTCATTAACATATTCATGGTGCGGTCTTAAAGGTATGGCTTGTGTATTTCTAAAAGGTCAGTGAGAGGGAAAAGGTGGCCATGAGAAACTAAACCTTGACTGACATTATAAATGGACTTCAGGGTGAAAATAAAATGCTAGAGGAGTTTCTGTGGATTCGGCCGTCACAGATCTTTAACCCTGTGTAGTGGCCCGTCACTCAAAGACACTGTGAACGCTGAGGTATTTATGTGATTTCAACCGTTCTGTCTACAATGTGAGATGACAGGCAGATCTTTGGGTCAGACCACAGCTGAGAGAGGACAGGAGAGGAGGTCAGTTTATTGATCTGAGCGACATGCTGGATTTCTCTCTGTCTTTTGATTGACAGCTCCTGCAGTCTAGACATCTGATTTGTCGTGAAGAAGTCGTGTACTTTCAGGCCACTTTCACACTACTTGAGTCCATATGAGACTAGAAACCAGCTTGCAGCTAAGGCCTTGAAATAATCTGGGGTTTTGTATGTGTGAACTATAATAGACTGAAGAAAAAAAATACGGTGTAGGATTGGTGTAGGAAAACCATTTTCTCTCAGAAATTGCTAGTTAAGTTTACAACTAATTACAAAGTAACATTAATACTGAAACATGATTTTAATTGTTTTATTTTATGTATTAATTTTTTTTTTTTTTGGTAAAAGTTTTTACTCCAATAATCTTTGACTTATTTACTATTTAACTTAGGAAGATAATTTAAAATCAATTCATATGAACACAGTCTGGCTAATTTGCAGACTGCAAATAAAAAAAAATAAAAAAATAGATGATAGATAGCTGGATAGATGGATAGATAGATAGATAGATAGATAATAAATAAAGATACATTTACTTGAGAAGCAAAATGACAAAATCTTCTTTTCTGAAAAATGTCTCAAAATGTATGAAAATAAAAGTTCCTCTTCAGGAACTCGAGCTGCGTCGGAAACGCTAGGAGAACGCCTTCTGCGACCCATGCTCTGAATCACATGTGAAATCAGTCCAATAGCTGAGCGGGACGTCACGGGCGGGTGACGTCATGACCAG